TTTATATATCATTTTTCATAGAGAGAGAGAGAGAGAGAGAGAGAGAGGGAGGGAGGGGGGGAGAGATAGATATAAATGCAGATAGATACAGATACATACATACATACCCTTAATATCTAATGCTATATATAGAGAGAGTATTTTTTAACTTTATCTCTTTCTACTCCTTTATATTTTTCTTGGTTTCTATTAGTTTTTATCTTTGCAATGGAAAACTTTAATAAAAGTACTATTAAAAAAACCTGTAGCACAGCTTCAAAGTGGTTTTCTTTAGCTATGCTAAATCTCCCCCAAGGTTGCAGAGGCTAGGTAGATGGCAGAGATTTGAATGGGTGCATTGGGAATTCTCAGAACTTAAAAATGCGAGCTGATCGCCAAATGAGCTTTTCAATTTCTAGAAAAATAATTGCTGGATGATGTCAATAAATTTTTCCCTGGGGGGAAAAATGGTTCTTGAAAAGATGAGGCTAGTTCATCAAGTTTCTTGCTCTCTCTCACCTCCCCCACAAACTTTCTAGCTGCTTTGTTAGGGAGAGTATATTTTAATTTCAAATAAACAGGGGACTAGTTTTCCCCTTGGGAAAGGCATTGTGTTTGATGTTGGGTGTTCTCCGTTACCTGAATGTTTCTGCAGATGTAAAGCATTGCTTTATGTGTGATTTAGCCAGCGAGAAGGATGTGGGTCTTAGCACTTAGCACTTCCACGGCAGAGTACTTGAGGCTGGCTGGCTGACCGTTTTTGCATTCCATGTTCAGCTTGAACCCAAAGCCCTTCCCTGATGGGTTCTTGCATTGTTCAACAGGAAGCAAGAGGAGCGAGTGCAACAGGTACGAAAGAAACTGGAGGAGGCACTGATGGCAGATATCTTGTCCCGGGCTGCGGATGCACCAGAAGTAGATGAGGTTGAAATGGACAATGGAGAAGAGGCATAAGAATTAAATAATCAGGTACAGTCCAAGCTTATGGGGGAGGGGGAGAGTAGTGGGATGATATCTCTCTCTTTCCTTCCCTCCCTCCCTCCTCTCTCTCTCACTCTCTCACACACATTTCTTTAATGCACCCTTTCCCCTCCCTCTCTACATCTCTTCTTTCTCTCTCCCCTCCCTTCATAATCTGCATGTTTTCACCTCTCATATGGCCACCCATCTCCCTCCCTCTCACCCCCCTCTCGCTCTCACACACACATCTCTTTAATATATCCTTCTTCCTCCCTTCCTCTCTCCTCTCCCCGCTCTCTCTCACACATCTCTTTAATATACCCTTCCTCCCTCCCTCTCTCCTTTCTCTTTCCCACCTCCCTCTCTCCTCTCTCTTTCCCTCCCTCCCTCTCTCCTCTTCCCCCTCCCCCAATCCTCTCTCCCCTCCCTCTCTCCTCTCTCCCTCTCTCCCCTCTCTCTCACACACACATCTCTTTAATACACCCTTCTCCCTTCCTTCCCCTCTCTCTCCTCTCTCTATCCCTCCCTCTCTCTCTCCTCTCTCTCTCAAACACACCTCTTTTTAATACATCCTTGTCCCTCCCTCCCTCCCTAATCTGCATGTTTCCATCTCTCAAATGGCCACCCACCTCCCTCCCTCCCTCCCTCCCCCCTCTCTCTCACACACAGACACACACCTCTTTAATACACCCTTCTCCCTCCCTCCCTCTCTCCCTCCCTATCTCCCTAATCTGCACTTATCTTTTAGATGCGAGGCGTGAGGTAAAGTATAACGGCTTTTATTAACAGGCAACAGCAAACAGTAACTTGAGAACACGGACAGACCTCGTCTGCCTGACAGCTCTTTATATATGACAGCTGTCAGGCGGCTGGCCAATAGGTGGCCAGTGACTTTCCCGCCAGCCGGCTGCGTCGAAAAGATGCAACACTATCCATCTTTCAAATGGCCACTCAACTCACAAACAAGTGACTTTGGGTAGCACACAACAAATCTTTTTTCCCTTACATTTTGAATTCCATGTAGTGGGGAAGGGCAAGGGATTAAAAAACATATTTCTGAGGCGGCTGCAAAATTCCGGGTTAGAAAAATCCCTCCTCCGAATGCTTAGCAGCCATGCATTTGAAACCGAACCCTAAAACAGGCCTAGGTTCATCTCTCCCCTATTTAAAAAGTTTTTTTTTTTAAAAAAAAAGTGTGTTCGGTGTAACAGTTTTAAAAATGAGAGCAAATCCCCAGAAATGCTTTATTGCAGTGGCCCGAGATGACGGAGAGGGAAAAAATACCATTATGATGTATGATGGACTCCGACCGATTCCTTTGACTAAGCTCTTATTTAGTCTGAAGCCTCCAGTGTTTACGGGCCCTGTTTGTCTGGCACAATGGCTACCAATTCTGAAGAATTCCCTTTGAGCATTTCCCCGGTGCGGCCTATCTGCTCATCCACTTATTTATCTGCAGGCAGTGCCTCATTTCTTGCGCCAGACAAGAGGCAGATGGGACTCCCCTTCCAGTTTCTCCCCCCCTCCCTCCTTTCAATTTCTGTAAGAAATAACAGGAACTTAAGCCAGTGACAGCTCAATCTTTCTGCGCGCGCCCATTGAGTTCCGTTGGACTAATTTTCAGCCGAACGAGAAGAGAAGAATGATGAGAAGTGGTTTTCTGTAGAAAATTGAGGCTCTTGGCAAGTTCAGTTAAAGTGCCACAGCCATCTTGAGATTCCGGAGTACATAAGAAGCTCGTTTTAGGCTTTCGGGGATTGGCCGTGTTGTAGCTTTTGATTTGAAAGAACAATTATACGTCATTTAAAACATCATCTCATTCATTCTCTTTCCTCTCCATTTTTTTGTTTTGTTTTACAGGTACTTAAAAAAAAAAAAGAGAGAGAAAGAGACTCCCAGATAAAAATTTCTGGAAATTGGAAGCGCTTTTATGCTTTCCGTTGGTCTTTTGTGATAGAAGAAAGAAGACCTCTGCACATTTATATAGCTTTCTAATAGCATTAAAAACCAATGCCCTTTTTCGGCTCTTATTATTATTATTATTATTGTTATTTTATTATCCTATTTTTGATGTACATATCTTGTTAAGAAAAGAAAGAAAAAAAAGGGGAAAAGAAAAGAAAGAAAAGACCCTACTCTTTATTTTGTGTCTTACGACTTCAAAAGTCTCGTTTTTATTTTTTTATTTTATCCGTTTGGTGACGTCAAAAAAATTCCTGAAGATGGAAGCTGAGCTTTTGCGATGCCAAGTTGGTGATCTTGTAGCGACGGCCTTTCAAGCACTAAATAATGAGAATTTCTTCTTCTTTTTATGTGTGCGGGTTTTTGTTTTTTTTGCAAGAATAGATCAGGAAAACAGATTGATTCCCAGTTAAAAAACTAAACCAAGGAAAGAAATTGTGTCATGATTTCTTGTACATATATTATATAAAAGATTTTTTTTTTATACTGGAACTGAATGGAAGGAATCTATCAATTGACCCATCATCATTCTCTAAAGAGAAATAAATACATTTATTTCAGAGCAATTACAATTTTTAGAGTAATGTACTATAATTTAAGGCAAAGCTCTTATCTCTATTACTGTGCATTAGGCAGAGATAATATTGTTCAGTGAAAATATAGGGGAATACCGAATGTCAAGCTGCTAAAGCCTTTTGTTAAGTTTATTGGGAAATTTATTTGCACTCTGACCCAATTACGGAAGCACTTCGATGAGTGTGCAATTTTCCCACACCGGATATGGAGCCTCCGTCCTCCTTTTTTGTAAAATGGGGAAATCACGACCTACCTCACAGGGTTGTTGTGAGGATGAGCTTAATAAAAAAAAAGGAAAGTATTTTTTCAATGAAATGGTTTTCCCAAATGAATAGAAATGGATACACGGAAGATGAAGGATGATTATTATTTGTATAATAGTAAGATGATTGATAGGCTAGTCTTGAGTTCACTGGCGTTTATTCATCAAAGAGGACTAATGACATTGTCGCGATTCCAAGTAACACCCCTAACAAAGGAAAACTCCGAGGCCTGAGTTTCCTCAAAGCTCCATTTTATTAGAGATGTCATATTATCTTTGCACATCTCGGAAAACCCAAATCTGAAAGCTTCCAGGTTTTCCCCACCCAAACGAAAGTTCAAGTCCCTGCCCAGCACCCACATGTCCATCATATGGTCCATTCAAGTACCGTCCCAACTGGAGATGCCTCCCAGTCACACCACTCCAGGTGCAGGGCAGGTGACCTTGACTCTCTGAGAAAGGAATGTTATTTTGACTATATCTCCCATACTCCATATACTCCCCCCACCCAGTTTCTCACAGCATTAAATTTGGCATGCAAAAGATGGCTTCCAGGCCTAACAGATATATTCAATTTTCACTTAAAAGTTGATAGTAGTTTAGATAGATGACAAATTGATAGGTATTCTTCAATACAGCCATTGACCAGATCACAAGCAATAAGAATAGGAAATTGTCTATAAGACAAGGTAAACCCTAGATCCTGTCAGCCAAAGAATTCTACCTGGCAGGGTCCAGAAGAAGAGCCTTTTCTGCTGTGGCCCCCATCTTCTGGAATATTCTATCGTCAGAGGTGTGATCTACACCCACATTCCTGCCTTTCTAGAAGAGCTTAGAATTTGGGCTCTGCTGCTTGGTCTGGAGTCCCAACAGAGACCTGCTACATTGGGGGTGGCTTTCTCAATCCTAAGGGATGCGGTGGCTCAGTGGCTAAGATGCTGAGGTTGTCCATCAGAAAGGTTGGCAGTTCGGCGGTTCGAATCCCTAGGGTCGCATAACGGGGTGAGCTCCCGTTACTTGTCCCAGCTTCTGCCAACCTAGCAGTTCGAAAGCACGTAAAAAATGCAAGTAAAAATATAGGGACCACTTTGATGAGAAGGTAATAGCGTTCCATGCACCTTTGGCATTTAGTCATGCTGTCCACATGACCACGGAGATGTCTTTGGACAGCACTGCCTCTTTGGTTTTGAAACGGAGAATGTCATTCCCTAGAGTCAGGAATGACTAGCATATATGTGCAAGGAATACCTTCTCAACCCCAGGCTGCCCGTCATTTTGGTTTTTAATTTATTTTTTAAACTTGTTAATTCCAATTTTAATTCTTTTTTTACACTTTTTAACTATTATATTGTAGGTCACTTAGAATCAATATATTATTGAGATGGGTGGCATATAAATCTAATCAAAGGGAATGAAACATCCAAGATAAGAATAGGTCAGCCATCTCCAACCTGGCATCCTCCAGCTGTTTAAACCAAGAATCCCTCAAATTCTCAACCAACTTGATCATAAATTAGGAGTTCTGTTAATTTTAACGCTCATGGAGGCACCATGGAAATGAATAGTAACTTTTCTGTTTCACTGCAAGATCACCTTTTGAGGTACGTCCCCATCATTAGATAAAATTTAAGGTATTTGCTTCTGATGGATAACATTGGGTGTCAGTAGATCAGTGGTGGGTTGCAGGCAGTACACCCTGGTACGGGCATACCGGTGCCTGGTGGGAGCACTGGGTGTACCATTCTGGTATGGCGATCCAGAGGGCCCACCCACTCGCCCGCCGTCCTTACCTCTATTTGAGCTCTTCGGTGCTTCCACACATGCACACAGAGCATACGGCGGCTGCGTGATGCTCCGCCGAGCAGCTGGAGCATCACTGAGGCATCGCAGAGCATCACGGGATGTAAGGACACGTGCATCTGTGCAAGTTCATATGGTGGACGCCAGGTCCCGTTGTACCGTACCAGTTGCACCAGGATCTGGAACCCACCACTGCAGTAAATTCCTGGTGGAGAACAAAACTAGGTTCTGCTGAACCTGCCTTTGTCTCCTAAATGAGTCTGTTTCTTCAGACACGGCCAAGGACATTGTTCAAATCCAGATATGGAACAGCTGCACCTCAAATTGAATTGGGAGTTATTTCTCCTCAAGGTGCAATTCCCTCTAGCTTTATCTTCTCATGTTGGCCAGCCAACTTCAGAAAAGTTGCATTCGACGTCCAATTCTGGGTCACCATGATTGAAAAAAGATGTTGAGACCCAAGAAAGAGTGCATCAATAACGGGGATTGGAGACTAAGCCATATGATGAACGATTAAGGGAAATAGGTATGTCTAGTCTAACAAAGAGAAGGACTCGGAGTCACAGGTGGACTGCTGGGGGTTCAGAGGGGTTCGGGAGAACCTCTAGCTAAGATTCTGTGCAGTTCAGAGAACCCCCAAATCCCACTGCTGACTGGCCCTGCCCACCACTCCCCTCCCTTCCCCTCCCAGGAGACCCTATGTGGCCTGTTTTGTATGCAGGTAAGTGCAGGGCACACACAAAGGTTCAAGGAAGGCGAAAAATGGGTCTACTGGAAGTTCAGGAAGGCTGGAAATAGGCTTGTTTCTGGCCTCTAGAGGGGGTCTGGGGAGGCTATTTTTGCCTTCCTGGAGGCTCGAGGAAAGGCTCTGGAGCTTGGGGAAGCAAAAATGCCCCCCATGATGCAAGAGGCCACCTAGGCAATGCCTACCATGGCCATGCCCACCCATCAACCATGCAGAGAACCCCCTTCTAAAAGTTTTGAAGCCCACCCCTGCTTGGGGTGATATGATAGCAATCTTCCAGTATTGAGGGGCTGTCAAAGACAAGAGAAAGTTGACCTAGTCTCCAAAGCATCTGAAGGTAGGACAAGAAGTTACAGGTTGAAGATCATTAAAGAGAGATCCAACCTAGAACTAAGGATAAATTTCCTGACAGTGAGAGAAATTATTCAATTAATTTGCCTCCAGAAGTTCTGGTTGCTCCAACACTGGACGTTACTAAGAAGAAACAGGACAGCCATTTGTCCAGAATGGTATAGGATTTCCTGCTTGAGCAGAGGGTTGGAGTAGAAGACCTCCAAGGTCCCTTCCAATCTATTATTCTGTTTTATGTGTGCTTTGTTTAGAATTTCTCACCATCTTACAAGCTTATTGTAGATAACACCATTGTTTAGTGCTTAAAGGTAAAGGTTCCCCTCACACATATGTGCTAGTCATTTCCGACTCTAGGAGGCGGTACTCATCTCCATTTCCAAGCCAAAGAGCCAGCGCTGTCTGAAGAGGTCTCCGTGGTCATGTGCCCAGCCTGACTAAATGCAGAAGGCGCACGGAACGCTGTTACCTTCCCACCAAAGGTGGTTCCTATTTTTCTACTTGCATTTTTAATGTCCTTTTGAACTGCTAGGTTGGCAGAAGCTGGGACAAGTAATGGGAGCTCACTCCATTACACAGCACTAGGGATTTGAACTGCTGAACTACTGACTTTCTGATCGACAAGCTCAGCGTCTTAGCCACTGAGCCACCGCGTTCCAGTTTAGCGCTTGGGGAGACCTAATTAATTGCAGACTAGACAAATAGTTGACTATTGGCTGAAAATTCTGAGAATTAAGGGAGATCTAATGGCTAATTGAGTTATTGAACTGGGAATTGTTGAGAAATTCAACCTTTTACAAACACAAAGAGGACCTGAACTCAGCCTAACTTCCGAGGTTTTCTGTAGACTCAACGCACAATTATTTTTTGGTTTTAATTATTTCTTGGTTTTAAAGAAAAAAAAGCTTAAATCTGCATTGGAGATTTGTACTTGAGAATAAAAAAATTGAAAATTGTGTATTTGGAGAAAAACGAGCAAATATATGTTTAAACACAGATTTGAAGACTTGAAGGTTTTTTTAGGAATTGCCAAATGGGAAGTGAGACAGAATGGCTTTCTGCTGAATGTGTGTAGAAGTGACAAAAACACTTTCTTACTCCTGCTTTGAGGGTAGAGATGCTGAACTCCCTGCTGTGCCGCTCATCTTCCGTTGCTAGTTTGCACCGTTCTCCTTTAGCAAATAATGCCTGCTTGGGGACTCTCTACCAGGCTTGTTGGTCGCTAAATTGTGTGGAAAAGCTGATTTGGGAACCGTGTCCAGCAAAATCTATTCATCTAGTAGACTTGGAACTCGATGAGCCTTTCAGAGCCCGGTTACGGAAAAGCTACACTTAAGGCATGATTATTTTTGATAAATTTGGCCTCTCTCCTGTAAATGAATTTTAGTGGATTTGTAACAGTGATGGCTAACCTTTTTGTCATTGCATGCCAAAAGCATGTGCACCGGTGGTGGCTTCCGGATCCCATCGTGTTCTGACCTTCCTCTTCATACACCAAAGCACGCCGAGACAAAGATACTTCAAGGATTTATTAACACACAGACTAAACCTTGGCAGCAATCCAGCACAGACCAGACTTTGGCAGCAATCTACCACCAACTAGAACTTGGCAGCAATCCAGCCTGCCAAGATAGCCATGATAGCTTCTCCAGCTCTAGTAAAT